CAACACACACACACACACACACACACACACACACACACACACACAGGTCCCGTAGATACGTACCTTGCACAGAGAGAAAAGAGTGATTGTTGTATATGCGTTTAGAATGGGATTAAGGCTTGTAATCTAAAACGACATCTCCTCCATTCGAGAGACATTTCCTTTTCTTCATTTTTGTATATTTGTAAATTGATACGAATAGAAAGATCGGGCCAGAACCGATATATCCTCGGTGTCTTTCATTCCATGGCTCATCGGTTGACGACGGAGAGTGGTGTATCGATAAACGTGATCGTGCGTATCTGTGGAAAAATGAGGCTGCGTAATTAATTATCTTGTTGTGTAAGTGTAACTGAGAGAGAGGAGAGAGAGAGAGAGAGAGAGAGAATGACGCGTGTTTTCCCTCGTGTGTTGTGATCGTTCAATTGCATTGACACGTCGACTCGACGACGCTGGAGAAATGTCAACGGGAGACTCTTTGAGATTAAGTTAATCAGCACTATAGTTTTTCGCATAGAAAATAAAAGATGACGCGCGTAGTGAGGCTTATGTGTATACATTTTTTGACTTACTATATGTTCGTACTGTTTTAAATGGACGAATTGTTGAACAATAAAATCGCTGATTGCTACGATAATAATGAATTGCCGTTTTTATGCGACTCGCGGCTCATGTGCGTTTTATATTGCATGCATATGAGTATGCGATATAAAATATTTTAATAAGCGAATTATTCACGAGATTATGCGATTGCGAGATATTACGATTAAATAGTGAAACGATCGAGCGTGTGGATCTGCGCCGTAAATCGGTATTGTTTTTGCAAAGACGCACGAGGAGAAAAGGAAAAATTGAGTAAAGAAGAAAGAAATTAATGTACGCGCACATCGCATTTATTACGATCTGTCTACTAACAAATCGTTATGACAAATGCGATTTTTATTAGGATATTATTATATAATTTTATTATTATATAATTTACTTAATATGCCACTGAGAAACGAATGTGTTCTTTAATGAAGAAAGCTAATGAAAATGAAATGACGATATTTGTATAGGTGCGTATTTGTTGAAGCGGTACTGTATACGAGGTTGCGTTTTCCTAGAATTTTCCTCCTTTTAGGATTAGATAATGTAAAGCTAATCCTGGATCCTCATCAATATTACATTTCTTTCTAACTAAATTCAATGCCGCTCCCTTCAAGTAGATTCGTTTTCTTTCCACTCGCTTTTCGAATTGATCTATTTGAAACCGAGCAAACTTATGTATATAGCGATTTAATTATTTTAGTAATATTATCATCACTGTGAGAATTATATGTTTACACGCGCCCGTATATGTGTATACGTGATCATGAAAAAAAAGGAGAGTGGTCTACATGGAAAAAAAGAATGATACATAAAACATAACGAGACTGAATGATATATACATCGGACCATGAAAGAAGAAATCGATTGTCTTACACTTGCATTTTATCATTACGCAATAATGATAATTGTTATTATATAATACGCGGATTATATAATTGTACGTGAAAAAAAATGAAAGTCAACTGCACTGATTTTAATGAAATGAATATGTACATCTCTCTCCCCTTATACAAAGATTTTACTACACACACACACACACCCCCCCACTACACACACACACCACCACCCACACACACACACACGTAAACTGTGATTACTATTCTAATTTTTAACTTATATACACTACTGATTATTGCTTTGTTTAACTCATACGGAACCGTCTAACAAGACGCTTTAATAAGAGAACTTAAAAATAGGGAAAAGAAATAAGAAAAAAAAAAAAAGACTAGGATTTGCGTGGAAGCTTATTCTTGTAAATATGTGTTGTGTCTATTGCGCTTAGCGAGTAAGAGAAAAGAGAAAAAAGTTCTTAATGAATAATGCGTACTTTCTTTTCGTGGTTTCTTTTATTCTTTGTTATTCTCTCCGTTTTCCAACATTTTTATTATTATTTCGACATTCAGTAATTCTCTATGTTTCTCCAGCATCTCCAGCAGCAACTCTTCCTTTCCTAACGTGTAACCGGACACTGCTATAAAGCTTCTAATAAGTTTTTTTATTATATTTATCTTCCGTATATTTCTTTCCATTTTATCCTTATTTCTGAAACAGAATAGAGATTTGAGAATGGCAAAAATACTTCATATGTTACAAAACAAATTCTGATGTTAGCAAATTTTCACTTACTTCATAATTTCAGGATTTGTCTTCTGCAATCTGGTGCTTTGTATTTGCTTCTGTTCCTTGAGAAAATTCTTGTAGTCGAACAATGCCTTTTGGCATTTAACTTTTAGATCTAGTTGCATTTGAGATGTCTCTTCAATGGTCTTTTGAATAATCATAACATTGTCATTGAGAGTAAATAGTTTACTCATATATGTATAGAGCTTCCTGAAGCAAGCAAAATTCAAAACATTTTTTAATGCATAACATTTAAGCTTCACGTTCATCAGTCTAAGACGTAATATAACAAATAAGAATAAAAAATATAAAAAAAATTTAAGAACGCAGAAAATTACAACCCCGATGAAAGAACATTTTGATGTTCTTTGATTATATATTGATGCTTTATAATTTAATTCTTAATTCTTAATATTAATTCCTTATTGCTTTTATTGAGTCTGAGTCCTGAGATAGTACAAGTTTATTTCTCACTTTCGGTCTTCCTCAGTGCCTTCTTTATTGCTAAGAATGGAGAAAATGGTGGTGCTGTGAAGGCATAATTTAACAGCTTTGGCATTTATGAGGACGTCACTTATGACATTCTGCATTTCATCTCCGACGTCTTCCTCGCTCTGTTTTTGCTTCGTTCATCGTCGATATATTCTAAAATGCAAGACACAAGAGAGATCTCAACACAACCCGTCAAAAACTGGTGCGCTCGATCGTCAAACATACGTTTGTACTTTGCTTTAAGCAATAACATCCTGGCGTTTCAGGCGCATCAGCGACACCCTGGTCGTCTGGATCTTCTCTTCGACCGGCCTAAAATCGTCCAGCGAAGCCGCGCCGATCGGGAACCCGTTGATCACCGCGTTCAATCTCTTCACGGACTTTTCCAATTCATCGAGCTCCATTTTCGCAACTTGTATGTCTCACATGAAGCGGATTCGAACACATTATTTATATCTCGCTGCGGCCTTAAATCGAAACAGTGTGGCGTTCGCAACTTTTCAAAGGGCCATCACGAATCGAAAATTACACGATGTTCACGACAATTCACGTAACCGCGACGCATGGTTTGTTTATCATCTTACATTTTGAATCTGTACAAGTGTGCTTCATCAGAAATCGAAATTCACCATATTGTCCCCTCCTCACTCTCTCTCTCTCTTCTCTCTCTCTCTCTCTCTCTTTCCTTAAGGTACCTTTTCATATTGCACTCGACGCTTATTTTCAGAGTCAAAATAGATTACAAGTATCAAAGTGACCATTTAAATTTCATTATTTTGTATCAACTTTTATCATTTATGACTAATTTGATGTTAAAAATGAGCGTTTTGTATGCAACGGCTCTTAGGCCCGATTGCACCAATGCTATTTTGACTTTAAATGGGACTTAAGCTCTTAAGTCTGTTGCACCAAAGTATAAGTAATATTTATAGGGAGTTTTCCAGCAAGAAGACACAGATAGAAACTGTGTCACACAATTAAACACAATGCTGAGTGCTTGATGAAATGTCTTTTAGTTTTAGATATAATCATCAGTTGACGCTAGCTGAAATTTGTTGAAGGCTTGATGCTTCATTCTCGAGCATAACCTTTAAAATATTTGCAGTGTCACAACAATAATTGAAGAAATAACCTTTTCTTCTTCTTCTTAGTCCAGCTAGCCTATTCTGTAATTCTTAAGAACAATTCAGTATCATTATATTGTCGTCGCGCAGATTTTTTATCTTATAAAATATATATATTGGAAGTTAATCAGAAAAATGGATTTACATTTCGATGTATTAGAAGACGATGATGAATTAGATGCATTCGATCTACTTGTTTATGGGATATACACGAAATATACATGTGCATGCTAATTATTTTGAAAAATATAACGATTTAAATTTTTTTCGAAGATTTCGATTACAGGAACATTGTGTTATACATATATTAGAACAGATTAAAGATTGTCTAAATTATACACATAGCAGATAAAAATATCATATTCTTATTAGTTTTTAACATTTATTATTTTAAAATATTTTTAAAATCTCATGCACACTTTATTACAAAATTATATTACAAATTACAATATATAACAATTGTAGTGTATGTCAATTACAATAATTAATTATGACAAAAAACGAGTAATTTTATAATTTTTTAGAAATAATCCGGTAATTCATTTGTGATAATCTCCCAAGTATTATTTTTGTCCTTCCACGATATTTTATCTGTTTTTTTTTTTGGATTCAATGATATTTTTATATTTTTTAATAACATTTATGAGAACAGCTTTTTCCTCTGCTGTGTAATTTGCGCTACGTATTCTCTTTTTCTCTGATTCAATTTTCTCAGTCATCTAATTAATAAAAATAAAGAGATATGACACAACTAAAATTTTATGTTTTTATTATTATTACAAAAAGAAATTTCTTTTTTTCCTTCCATCTTTCTTGATCGAAAATTTTCTATTTTCTTCACTGTTTCTACTTTCTTAGACACACCAGTTTTTTGCAATTTCTTAATATAATAATTTAATTATTTTATTAGCAATTAAAAATAAATATTTGGTTTTTTCTTGCGTCCTTGCGGTATCTATATTACAAGTTATCTTAAATTATCCAACATTAAAACATGAAAAAATTATCAAAAGTTACTATCAAAAGTTCCACTTAACCAAGTATATACATATTTTCGTGGCATTCGTGCAATGCTAGCAAATTTTAAGTAACACTTACTCTAAACGCACCTTAACTAAGCGAAGAACTGGAATGACGTTGGTGCAATCGGGCCTTAGTTATTTAGTTGCCACATAGAAAATATATCGACGAATCACGACAAACGACATGAAACGGCATCCAATTGCATCGCTCCGTGTTTATCAAATGAATTTTACAATTCATAGACGAATTTCATCCTGCTTGATCGGAATTCTGTACATGTCCACTGACAACTGTCGATGTCGTTAACTAATGACAGCCAATAGCAAGGACGATCTTGGAAAAAAGCGCAGCTGTCATTGGCTGTCGTTAGTTAACGATATCAATAGTCGGTAAGCGAGAACCCCGAAACTTCTTGATCGGCTTACTCCTTGGTGCAAAAAATTGCATCACGTGTGTGAATTCGTGTTTATTGCAAGCCGTTTCCATAGTAACGGCTTTATATCGCGAGTCGTGGGAAGTATGTAACGTTCGTGCCTTATACAGTGCGTGATATTTACCGAATCTATTTTTTATTTGTATATAATATTTTAAAAAATTCGACGAGATGACTGAGACGATTGAATGGAATATGAAAATTATTTTGAGCATAAAAGAAGGTGAGATGCTTTTATAGATATATTTATTCTTGAAAATATCGCGAGCTAGTTTCATTTCTGAAATTCAATGTGGTTTTCTGGAAGATTTTTTGTTTTCAATAGAATTACTTTTTTCTCGTGGCTTGAATTATACATAAAACATGTAATTATCGATTTGCGTACTTTATGAATTATATAAAGATATAAAAATGAAGTACAGAAACATTTAGAAATCTTTAGAAATCTGTAAAAAATGTATAGAAAAAACAGAAACATCTAGAAACATGTAGAAACATAAGTTCGGACACAACAATTGCACAATAGTTGAGTAATTTATCAATGTAATTAGCTTAAAGAAGCTTTAAGGAATTTATTTTGATTTAAGGAACTAATCACTGATCATTCATTAATCACTTTGTTCCATTAAACACATCCATGATGTTATAAATGAATTTTTACAAAATAAAATTTAAATTTAAAGAGCATATTATCAAATTATTACAATTATTGTGATCAAATAATTATTTTATATATACATGTGATGTAGGAAAGAATTTTGATCAAGTTTTCCAACCGACATTATTGATTGGAACTTTGAATGGGTATTCCTTAGAAAGTCACAAAATTGAAGCATGTCCAAATCCACAGTATAATTCAGATCTGATTTGGATAACCAATAAAACAGCAGTCAAAAAGTGAGTTTTTGTTTCTTCAATGGCTATTAACTTTGAAGAAATGAGTAAAATGTGGAATGTATTTCATTTTTATTTTTAATTTATAGAATGCGATCAGAGCAAACTTCATTAAAATTAGAATGCTTTGCTCTTAAGAGCAATGGCAAAGAGCGAATCGGATATGTTATGCTAAAGTTACGTTCTGCACAAGTAATATCTCATAAGGATGGATGTGTAAGTCCTGCAGCAAATTGGTTTAAATTGTTGGGGTTAAGAAAGGATTTTAAAATGCAAAAACCTAAGTTGCTTATTGCTTTAAAGATCGAAGAAACTAAGGATATAATTGTAGATCCAGTCACAGAGGTACTTTTATTTTATATGAATAATATATTTTAACAATCATTCTACTTTCTTATGTATTAATTAATTAATAGTGATAAAAAATATGTCAAATTATCATATTAATCCTTTATAATTCGGGAGATCATTAGCTATATTAGCTATAGATGGTATTTTAGAGGCTGATCTTTTTTTGTGTTAGAAAAAAATTTACATAACGTGTAAATGTTGATCTTAGAATAAACTGACAATTTTCAATGTTTAAATATTTTATTGTAGAAATCATATTCTTAATATAAATAGATAAAACTTGCAGTTTTTTATATTATCTACAAAAAAAAACTGCTCTTATTAAAGAATGGTACATCAATAAAATGCTATATTAATTTACAATGAAAATAAAATAAGACTTAAAATTATAAATATATGAATATATTACTTTAAAGTTACATAGTGTTATAGAAGATTAAACTACAATTGTAATTACTTGGAAAAAAAAATATATACAAATTTTTATTAATAATTTATGGTTTTACAGGTAGAATATTTCACGATAGATAATAATATTATTTTACGAAGTGATGAAATAATCCCTTACATATATCCTGATGAGCAATTAATTCAATTGGGACCTCTAAGTCAATGTTATGAATTATTCATGCTAAATATTACAGCTACGTGTACAAGAAGTTTAGATGCATTGTTAGCTGAATACTCAAACAAGTACAATTCTGTATGTTTCTCATATCAAATTTTGAAAAACAGCATAGAGCTTAAACCACTCAATTTAGAATCTAAGACACCTTATGTTCTTGAGAAAGTAGTGGTGAGAATACGAAGCTCTTTGAGTGTCTTAAAACATTATCTAAGATTAAACCCAGATTTATTAATATTTTTGATGCAAGGAAATAATGTAATAGCAAAATCATCAGTTAATCTGCAATCGTTAATACCTGTGGATAATCTGCAAGAATTTCTCGAATGCACTGGGAATGCGACTACCACTTTATACGAACAATGTTTTTTGAACAAACAAAATTCAACGGAGAAACTTGTTGAAAACCAACATGAAAAACCATATATTAATTTGCAAATTAAATTGGAATATATTGGAAACAAGACAAACATATTGAACTTTGATACAGCAACGAACTACAACAAATGCATAACATATTTCCCTCAATGTAATAAAAAAAATATGGATAACATCGTACGGGTAAAAAAAGGAATTTAACCAATACTTTCACGTTTCAGTGATTATGCTATGAAATTAAATTTAAGATAATATATAAAACAATATCCAATTTCAGCAATGTCCAGCGATTGAGTCTGACAAAAATCCTAATGATGATTTTAAAAACAATTTGAAAAAGGATTCAAATAAACTAAAATATAAAATGGAATTTAACGATGATGAATATTTCAAATGGCAAAGACTAAGATATAAAGTGCTTGAGTCATGCATAAATAAAAATGACTCGCTCGTCAATCATTATAATAAAAATTACAATGACAGGATAAATGTAAGCTCTTATAATTGCTACCGCCTACAAATCAAGCTTGTAACAATAGCATTGGTATCTCCAAAACTATCTGGACGACAAATTGAATTTCGGTTTGTTTAATTTTACTAATTAATGTGTGGATTAATGGTTTTTTTCTAATTAATGAAATATAATAAGAATCTTCCAGTTTTTTTTATTTTTTTTTATTAATGTATCCCCAGATTTCATCATCCAATAGCTGAGGCTATCACGTCAAGCGAATGCACGACAATAGAGTCATGTGATATGAAATTTGATCTAGATATTGAATGTCCATTTTATTTTATATCCGAACCAGATAAAATAAGACAATTATTACGATATTCACCGAAGATTAGTATATATGATGTAAACGAAACGAATAAATTATTATCACAGCTAGTGCTTGATGTAAAACCATTGTTTGATTCAGTTAAGGTAAGATAGTATTATATCTATAGAGATTTTACAAACTAATGTAGGAAATTCGGAAAAATTTGTGAAGCGACTTAGATTTGAACTCGGGATTCATTGTTTACGAGTTCATGACACTCAGTCTGCACGACCACACAATTTCGCGATTATAACAGTCTCCGAATCTTACCAACTACTTAAGCCTTACAGCTTTTATGTTCCTGCACTAATAAAAATTAAAACAAGAACTTTTTTCAGCCCAAATGTGAATATACATTATCTGTGTTCGATACAGACGATAAAAAAATTGCTGAAATGGACGTTATGCTTATATTATACGATATTGGACCGCTTCCTGTTTTAACGATAGATAATATAATTAGTAAGTATATATTAAATTTATTATAAAACTTCTTAACATTCTTGTTTTCTATTGCATCATTTTTTAATGGAAAATTTTAGTCTTTTCACCTTATAAAAATAAAATTAAATTAAACTTTTTTTCTAATTTAAGATAACAATACAGGCTTACCGATGTTACATGATAATTTGGTATATGACATAGTGGACGAGCTCGAAACGTGGAAGGAACGCCAAAAGGAAATATTTAAAACCGAGGTAAAATTATGCAGCAATAGCTTGTAATTTCTATTTAATGAAATATTTTTTATGCGATACAAATTAGCTCAAAAAAAAGGAAGAACGACATTTAAACATGTTGAGCGAGGAGTGGCATAAGTACAAAGAAAATCTGGAATCAAATTTTGCATTTAATGTTGAGAAATGTAAAATGTTAACCAACAGTTTGAGCAATGCTAGTGAAGCTTTAAAAAGGTGCAAAACAAAGATGTGTAAATATGAGTCTAGATTGCAATCGACAGACGGAGAGTTGCAACGAAGATACACAGCCAAGATGCACAAATTTAAGAATATGTTGCATGCTACGCAACAAAATTTTAAAGCAAAGGTTTGCGAATAGTTAGATTTTAATCGTATTGCTTTGATTATTGCTGCTTTTATTGTTTATGATTAAAAATATTATCACATATACATAGTACATGCACTCATACACACATATATCACACATACACATATATATGTATATATACATATGTGCGCATACATATGCATGCATGCACACAGATTTCAAAGTTTAATTCTAGATTTGCTTGCGCTTAGGTATGTATATATATATGTATGTACGTACATAAGTACATAAGTAGTGCATACATCCTATATTTACACATAATATTGTTTTATGTACAATTATGTTTTATACATAATATTGTTTTAGGTCACTGAGTTTGAGAAGAAAAAAATTAGCTTAGAAGATCGAATAAAGACATTAGAGCATGATAATGCAAATATAAAATTATTGTTAAAAAACCGGATTGATGAATCATCAAAATATCAAATGAATCAATTTCAAATGTATACAATGCAAAACATGAAAATTCTCGAGGAACAATTAAAACAGGCTATGAAATCGAAAGAAGTTTATAAAGAGTTATGGAACGACGAAATTAATGCAAGACGCACACTAAAATCGGACTATCAACAAGCTATAGAATCTCAAATAGAGAAAAATAAGGAAGAATTGAATGTTTTGAAGTACGTTATACTATTTTAATTAATCTTTTACAAAGTATTTTGTTTTGATCTAAAATCATACATATACATTGCATACTAATAGAGTAAAATTTTAGATAAATTTATAATTGAATCGAAAATATAAATCACTCTAAAAGTTAAATATGAAAACTTGATTTCTCAAATAAAAAAATATCAGTATGATTCATATCATTAGTTAAAAAATAATCAATATTATGATTTGATAAAAAATAGAGAAACATTATATATTACATTATATATTACAATTCTGTATAACTTAAATTTTTATTAATTTTTTTTTTACAGAATGCAGGCAGATCTATGTTTAATGGCAAAAGATATGTATGATGATAAAATTTGTTTATCGTCTATGGAATTTAAGATGCCATTTGTCACTTCGGAAGAAATCAGCAATCAAACTTGATTGCTGAAAATATGATTTTTGACACGGCGTTTATTGAAATATTTGTTGCAATAATATAACTATTTATGATCAATCAAAGGAAACTGAGTATTACTTGAATGAGGAATAATAAATGAAATGAATAAGTATATGTAAAAAATGTTGAAATGAATAAATATATGTAATTTCCTTTTAAAAGTCAGAAATTATACAAGTAATGATGATGATAGAGAATTTATTTCCTAGCCTAGCTTTTTTCAAGTGGCATTCAATCTTTGTACACGAAAAGAAAAACATACAATATGAAAATGCAAAAAAATATATATCATGTTAAATATTGCAAGATTTATATACATTTATACAAATAAATATTTTATATCAAAATGTTTTAATTCTTTAATTCTTTATTTTCTTAAAATATGGAAGAATGTCTATAGGAACAGAATAATCTTTTAGCCATCCTGGTCCCATGTAGATGGTGTTTTCTTTATTCATATCTTTCCATTCTCCACTAGGTAGATAGATATCACGCTTAGTCAAACTCCTTTCGACTATCGGAGCAACCAATATATCTTCTCCAAGGAGATATTCTGTAATTCAATTAAGTATTAATAATTAATTACGAATTATTTATAGATCACCTTGTATATACTTTTCAAGATAATAAATTTATGAATATAAGAATATAATGATTTGCTTGATAAATTTAGAATATAATTGTATATTTTTATGAGTTTACCGTCATTAATCTTGTGAGCTTCAGTATCAGTTGGATCAAGCCACCAAATAGGTGGATTTACAGGAGTGCCTTTATCAATAGCTTCTTTCATGGCGCATAAAATTTCTTCCGTGTATTGATCGTGCATTTCAGTATAACGTTTGCAGATTTTGATAGTCTGATAAATACAAATAGATATTATTTCTTCGATAACATTTTGATTTAATCTAGGAGTAGTCTAATGTTTTTATGTAAATCACGATCACCTAGGATGTTTTTTTATATTCTCTTTTTTTATACTCTTTTATACTTTAAAAATTATTAACATATTGTATATTAATGATTGTTGATTTATTAATATCTAGACATTATATAGATTTATTCATTATTTTTAGAAAAGAAGTAAAAAGTTAAAAAAATTAAATTGAATAAGCAAACTAAGTTTCGCCGTTTCGCCTACTTCAGTTTTTCGCCGTTAAAATGTAAAATTATTTCAAATAATTATTTCCATAAACAGATTAAGAAATCTGTTTATTGAGCAACTCATCAATATCAGACAGAATTTTCTAAATTATACTCACTTCATTGTCGTAATCCCATGGCACAAAGGAATACTGCAATGATGGCATGAAAACGTTGGCCTGCAGCCATCTGATAAACAATTCTTTGGATGGAAATTCCGTGCCATTGAGCGAACCATCCAGATAACCATTACCACCAATCATGTCTGGCAGCACATAGACATATCCATTGAGATTCATCTGCAGCAGCGTCGTGATCAGCGTAGGCAGGCCATTGTTCCATGTCCACCTGGAATCCTTATCGATCATACGAACGAATATGGGTAATTCCTGACTGCGCCATCCTACTCGTACTTCAATACTATCGTTAAAGTTCGTTGCGAGCGTGTTAACGTATTGTTTCGTGTATATACCCGGCTGGACGTCAAGCGAACCGTTCAACTTAGGCACTTGCGGTAACCAGGACACCTCGCCGGCATCAAATTTAAAACTGTCGATCCCAAGACTCAGAAGCTTCTCTAATCGCTCTACCCACCACGTTACTGCCGCTGGATTCGTGAAGTCGATCGCAGCAGCCTCCTTACCTGAAGAAAATACAACTAAATAATATTAAAATCCGAGTAATTTATAAGAACTTTCGAATTTGATGCTTTTTTTTTTAATTTCAAGAAGTCGCAAAGAGAAATCGCTCTTTTTGACGAGGAACATCGCTTTTAAGCCGATCCGCAATCTTACCCTGCCACCACGTCATCTTGACACTTCCGTTGGTATTTTTGACGAAATACGACTTTTCCAGCGCGTTGTCGTACGCCGGTTTGCATTCCTGATTGATGAACGGATGTATCCATAGAGTGACACGATTGATGCCCTTTTCTGTCTTCAATCGCTCCACGAGAGCGCTGATGTTAGGAAACTTGACGAGATCGAACTCAGCGGAGCCGTAGCAAGTCTCCCAGTTGTCGTCAATCTCGATCTGGCTGTTTTTGAATCCATTAGCCTTAATCTGATCCGCGTACGATTCCACCACTTTCTCGCTAACGTTGACCTTGTACCTCGCCCAGGTGGACCATATGGGATACCGAATCATCTGTTCATCGGGGTACTTCTGAGGTCGACCCAAGAAGTTTTTCACCGCGTACTGATGAGCGGCTTTTGGATCCGGAAAGATACCTATCGTGTAAACGAGCTCGAAGTCTTCATGCTGATAGGGTGCCTTCTTCTTGGCGATTAAACACAGGTGTTTATCCCGATAATTGTTTTGATCGAGAAACAGCGGGCTTGTTTCGTTCACGTAGATGAAGATGCCTTTGCTGGACAGCCAGTAACGTTCGGTTATTGCCATGTTTTGAGGATGCGTCGGCAGATATGGTTCTTCCTCAAAGACCATATCTTGCACAGGCCAGTATTGATAGCGATGCTGCGGTCCACCGAACCATTGTGTGTCGTCATCAAACTCAAAACAATCAATAATTTCGCCGGCAGGATCGTTAAATATTTTTCGAGTTATCGTGACGGTTAGGCTAGTGTCGTCATCGTAATTAAAATCAGTATATACAATTGATTCCGTGGACACTTTGTTTTTATCACCATTTTGCTCGATCACGGAAGAACTTTGCTGCATAGTCAATGAAGTCGATGCATAAAGAATGCTGGTCATCATGGTTTCTGATTCTGGGGAAATAAATATAGAATTCTTGAATATAATTTCTTCATTAGACTCCATTAATCGGCTTCTTACAAAGATATTTATTAAAAAAGAAAAATATTAATATTAATGCTTATTATAATTGAAACAATAATTTAGGAGAGATGCACATATACATATTACGAAATTAGTAAAAAAAATAACATGAAAGATAAGAAGTCATGTGTTATATAACTCACCATTTCGCATAATTTTAAGATTTATGACGTTATTTTCTTCTTCTTCTCCGTGGAGAATACCATGCTGGAGGGTAATGTCAAATCCTTCGCAAACCAGTGCAATGGCAATAAAAAACACCACCGTTATCAAAGAACGCATCGCTAAAACGGATAAAATTATATTAATTAAATGATCTCTATGTTTTTAAATGATACAGATGTTTTAACGTCGTAGAAGTTATATAAAATACATATATGTCTCTTAGGATGCGTTCTTCCGTTTCTTGCATGATGCGTATAATGCATTTATATCCTTATTTAATGTGTAGTGAATAATAAGGATAAATAATAGATCATGCGCATCATGCGAGAAACAGAATGCATCCCTAAATACATCATTTGTATTTTCGTCTACTATTTGATTCTCATCCAAAAGAATTGTGCACTTACCGCTTCGTTCCAACGACTGCATTCTGCACGTTCTTACACCAACTCTAATCTACGATTGAATCAGCGGCCTTATTTACGATAGCTTATATATACTTGCACGACGATAGAAGTTATTATATCATGAAGAATATCAATTCATTAAATCGATGACTAAAAATCGGATATGAAATGGCCACTTCACCACATTATGTATATACCTACATTTTATATCATTACTAAATTTAGTATTACATAATAGTGATATTCAATTTTTTATTATTAATATCGTCAATATTTGTAATTTTTATGTTTATTCGCTCGTATTCTATGCACAGATAATGAAACGTAATATATATATATATACACAGTTAGTATATAATTATATTGACATATTCAGAAATTGTTTCTAATAAAATCATAATTAATAAAATATTTTGGATAAGGGAAAAAAATACATTGCTATTCTTGTTTAAAAGAGATTTTATAACGAAAGAAACAGATTTGTACTTAATATTCTTTTTATTATCACCTCTTTTATCCCAATAAAATTAATGTGATTTCTGATGTATAACTTTTTAAACATTTCCATTTTAATATCTTCCAGTTCTATATCTAACTATATCTTTTTATATCTAAATTTTTTTATGTTTCAACAATTTGTTTTTATCTATATTATCTATATTACTTTTAATTCAAGGTCGATGCCGCATTAAGCAAAATACAAGTGTCTTTCTTACAAGTATCTTTCATTAAAATTGTCGTGTATTTCAAAAACTTAAATGCACTATATTTTTTATTTCAAATGTCGAATTAAAATGAAATCATTCTTTTAAATATTATTTTTGAGTCTTATTCGCATTTATTCAATCAGTTTCTTTGCTTTTATAATTTCAGATAAATGAAATTCATGTAATGGGAGGATTTCTGAAGAAATTTAATTTGACTTAAGATCAAAAGAAGTAAATAAAAATCCAGATATTCTTGTACATAATCAAGCTCTTACCTTTTTATTAAAAAAATTAAGATTAAAAATAAATATAAAATGAAAAATATTTATTATAAATTATTATTACAAGCTGTTAAAAATGATATCTTATTGAAATAAGAAAAGTAAATATCATTAATTAATAAATGTAATTTTCTATTATATCGATTATTAAATGTATGATAAGTTTTATCCTATCAATGCTACTATCAACGAATATCAGATATCTTTAATGATAAGTATTATCTATATTATTTATCCATCTGTTACTTATCTACTAAAAATATTTACTGAAAATATTTGTTCAATCAATGTTAAATATTTAATAATTGTTAAAAAGAAATTTAATAATTATTAAAGTGAAAAGACTTAATTATATAGAATTATTAAAATATTAATTACTGTTAATTTATAATTTAATAAAATAATATTTAAAATACTAATTATTTAATTTCAATATAGATTAATTTTTTTTATACAATCTAAATAACATTTATTAATTTGTTATTTACTACTTTAATTCGATATTCAAAGTCAAAAATATAGTACATTTAAGCGTTTGAAATACATGACAATTTTAACAATACAATTTTATAATGACACCAAGAACATTCATATGTATTGTGCTTGACATGTGGCATTGAATTTAAAGCAATTAAAAACGCATCCTCTTCTTTCGTTATTATTACAAGGTAATTATCAGCGTAATAACGACTATAGTAGCTTTAACGCGGTTGTTAAATGTTTTATAACAAAAAACAAAAAGTTTTGTCCCCTCCCAATACAAAACTATACCTCAAATTTTGTACAATATTAAAAATGCAATATTTAATGCAAATAATTAATTTTATTATAAAATTAAAAATGACAAAATTTATTATTAATATTAGATATCTGAAATTTATTTATTATTTATTTATTATTATATATCTGAAATCACTAGATAAAATATAACCAAGCTTTTTTTTTGTAATAAAACATATTTATTTTCAATATTTTCATATTTACAAAGATTGTATTTCACAGGTCTCGAAATAATTCTTGAGGTTTGAATGTATCTATATTCTTTGTGACATTAAGGAAAGTTTTTTGTTCGGAACATCGATTGTGCGTATAATACCTTTTCCCAGGACGTAAAAATCTTCAATCATCGTCGAAATGTTCAAGACGAGCTTACCATCGTCATCGAGTTTTCTACAACTGGTGTCCGATACTTTGAAATCCTTACGCTCGAGAACAGTGGGTTTTAATAAAACCCCAATCACTGTGCCACCATAAGTATCGTGGAAAAACAAGGCGTAATCCCCATAACCATCCTGTGAAACAGAAGTGTATGTAAAGAAACTTCGAAATATTTAGATATATAATATTTAAATAGTGACTAGTTAACAGTTTATTAATAATCATCGGGGATACTCACTCTTAAATCTTTCAAGAAATACTGTACAGGATCAAAGTCTACAATTGGAATTTTTTGAAGAGAATGCACTTTATACGGATGCAGATCTACGATTTCTGCTTTGTTGGATATATCGATCGCTTGTAATCTTCTAGGAATCATACTTGGCTTTAAATGCAACAAACAATCATATTCCGAAAGTGGAGGTCGAAACATGGATTTTACATCCAAAACTGTATTATTAAATAACATATCATCGAATAATTTCAGCGATTCCTTTGCGAGCGCACTCATACGATTTAATATCAATTGCGATGGCGCTTTCCTGGTCCACAAAGATTTTTGTTGATCGTAAGGAGTAGATATGAATAGCGGTGGTAGAGAACTGCGAGCTGTATTGAATAATGTTTCTATGGCGGTGATTTCTTCATCTGTAGAATTTAATATCATACATTAATACATTTTATTACACAATAAATTCAGAAACGCTAAAGAAATAAAATATTTGAAATATTAATCACTTAAATATTTTTCATCCATTATCTCTTTTATATAAAAATCTTAACATCATAATGGTATAAGAGATATTAAAACGTGAGTTGCTTACATTCCTCTTTTTCTAAATGTTTTTTTTTTCAATTTAATTTCATAAACAAATTTATAACAAATTAAATATTGATACATTTAAATTATTAAAATAAAATATATTATATAAAAATATATAATATATATTTTTGTGATGAATGCAAACACGAAACAATATTATTCTTAACTGATTGATACTACTGATTTCAACATCCCTATGTTTAAATGGAATAAAAGATTCTAATATCAATTTATTTTAATTAAGAAATTATTTTATAATTAATGTTTTATATTGATATAAGGTTAACATTATATTAAAAGATCAGAAATATATTTAAAAAAACATTAACTTACTGGTCATCTCGCCATTAAAATTAACAATAACAGGATCGATGTTCCAGTGAGCTCTTGCAATAACTTCCAAAAATCGTAAAAATGCCACCTGCGGCATCTGAGCAGGTTTATATGGCTCCGGTGATAGATATATTGAAGCCATGACTAATTCAATCACAATTTCTGGCATATGAGTATCATCCAAAAGTTGTGCCGATAACCATCGTTTTGCTAAACAGCAAGCAAGACCGAACGATGGTTGCTGAGAGTGTAATCTAAAAGAATCAGAATTAAGTATATAATATTATTGTATGTCCTTCATTTGTTATAAATAGTTTGTTTATGATAAAAATTATTATGTGAATATATTTCTTATTTAATTCTCAGTATCAGAATTTTTTAAACCTTCAATATAGAAAGATTTCATGTTTATAAAATTTAATTTGTATATCAAATATAATAAAAGTAAGAAATATCTGATAATTACATTTAAATAAAAATTTTCATTTAAGAAAAAATATTACACTTCCAGAAATAAAAGATATATTTCTGAAAGTTGATGATTCATATGGATGGTTCTTACCCGTGCAAGGCGCTACTCAATTTCGGTAAATGAAACAATTGGTTTTCCAATTTGACGGATTCTTCATTGTCTCTATATTTAATCACTCCATTCTCTTTGACTTGTTTCATTAAAGCGATTTCCTTTTGATGCGCCACTCTTAGTCGAAAAACGAATCCGTTCTAATAAAAAAAGAATTTTATGTTTGCAAAAAGAAGAAAAATATAATTATAGCACAAAAATATTTTTTATTTACGATAATCACTATAATCATGCATATTAATATGTTATTATATTATTAAAATAATCCATAATAATATTAACCTGATACACATCTATATGAGAAAGATTAGCTTGCACCGTTAGTTGATGTTGCATCCTGAGACATTCCGCGATTTGTATATGAAATGCCGCTTTTGTTTTTCTAATGGCTTCTAATTCTTCAGGCCATTTTCCACTGGTTGCTAATTGTAACGTTGCATCGAGCGCGTGAACATACATAGGACATTTCGTGATATTCTTTGAAAGACTTAAACAATTTTTGTCTTCCTCGGTGATACCATCGATCTTTCGATGAGTGGTGGCAAGAGGTGGAAAGACTTCCGCGTATCGGAAAATTGGACTTGAACCTTGTACACCATTTATTGTCAAAGGCATATCGACCAATGACATCAAATTCCTTTCTAAGGTGTTAAAAGCTCGCAGAACCTTGAGCGTAGCTTCTTCAGTACCATATATAAAGTGTGTTATTTTATACTAGGAAAAAAGATATATAATTATAATTTATCTTATATAATATTCAAGGAAATTATTTTATGTAACATACATTTAAGGAAAATAATTTCAAATAAAACTACAATCAAAAGCGAATTTAAACGTCTTCGAAATAATTACCTTGTACAACTTTAGTAAATCTTCCATTTGATCTGCGACATACAAATATTGATTCTTGAAAATGTTAAATTTTGCTTTTAACAAAAATATTATTATTTTCTTGCATATTATCCTCTTATCCGCGAGAGTTTTGCCTTTTGACCAAACCACAGCCTCGCGAATGGCTCCATCTTTAAATCTACGTAATTCAGATTTGACACCCCAAAAATTTCTAAAGTCAGCTGCCTGCAAAATAATTTAAATTAGAAATAATATAAATATTTATAAATTATTGCTTTAAATAATGATTGCTTATTTCAATTATTTGCTTACCTCTGGCAAATTAGCTTCAGGTCCTTTATCCACGACATCAAAACATGTCTCAGGATTCAATTCTAATCCAATAACAAGCTTTCCAATCTTATCTGGCATCTTCTCGGTGCATTCCCATTCCTTATATGTTTTAGGTAATATACACAATTGATTAATTCTATTTCCTAGACCTTTCTTCAACACTTTAAAAAGTAATTTAATCACTTGACTACGTATGTCAGGGCCATAATCGAGTTTGCTGTCAGCATTACATTTACTCGCTATTTTCTTTAAAATTGTTTTTTTCTGAAAACTGCAGATATTAAAATAAATTATTAAAATGTATTTAATATTCTTATATAGATATTAATATTACATTTTTTCACGTGTAAATTACCATAAAATGTGATCAAATGCTCTATGAAATGGTACACTCCGCATAAAAAGTGCATGAAAACTATCCACATGTATATTATCCAAATGCTTCAGGCATTGCATCGCTTCTCTTTGTACCCATAAAAAGGTATCTTTCGATAAATTTGCTGCGAAATTGTGATAGCCGGTAATATCAAGAAAGACACAATCGTAATAATTATGATAATGAGAGACTTGTTTCTGATTATCTTTGTTCTCACACATGGTGATTCCATTCTCGTACCAATTTCCTTGCGCTATTTCAAATAAATACAATTACTATCTCGGATAAGAAAATATATAATTTAATTAATTTAAAGCAACTTTTTAAAATACCTAAACAAATCCAGACATTCCGTACAATCTGATAGCTGCTCATGAACGTATTGAGCTTTTTCGCACGTAACAAATAGATTACAAACATAGTGATTATGTTATTAACGAAGCCATCGTATCCTTTATTCAATTCGCGCTGACGTAGCCATATTTTTAGCAAAATTATACCGTCCCTCAAGTTCGGATACTCTTTTATTATTCGCGTAACTTCAGAATCCATTCTTGACATTATCAAGTCACACAATATCATAGAGTTATAATGCGGAGTGGGTGATAAAGGTGCTGCAAAAAAGATTACAAAATAAAAATAATTTTAAAACATAAAAATTTAAAAACATAATAATTTTATATAAATTTATAGAGTAAGCTATATAAAATATCACAAATCCATGAATTATCCATAACTTACTGTCTTCCAAAGATTTCTTGCTAAAGTACCATCCTGGCCTGATGCTATTTTTCTCTGGCAGAAATCTATTCAACTTAAAGCTTGTCTCCTGTGCCGATATGTGTATTACTACGTCTATCTTTTTGTTCAATTTTCCACTTGGTCGAAGCTTTAAAAAAGGTCTTAGATCATCACCAATAAATTTCTTATTTTCTGCGATATCGTTTCCTATAACTGACGTTACAAACGCCAGATACATCGCTCTTTTGCGAAAATATACATAGTTCTGATAATCTTGTTTCCGGAACAGGCCAGCTGGCATCTCCACCATTACATCCACGGTAACAGTAGGTCCGATAATACATCCTGTATTATAAGATCCAACCACACTAATGTTGGATGGCTTCAAGAATTTAAAAACGCTCTTTTTTTCTTTTGGTACATGCGGTATGGGAATGCAAACACCTAATTTCTCATCCAAATTATTATCTACAAGCTAAAATCAATTAAATAGATTAAATATAATTTTATTGCTTTGTATCATGCAATTCAATCATCTTACTAACCGGAATCTCATCAGTCTCTTCGATAGACTCAATTGCTGTTTTTAACTTTCCAAACCAAATCTCAAATAATGCTTTATATTTATCTTTAAGTCTCACTTCGCTAAGAACTTCTTCAATTTGGAGTCGGAATAAATTTGAGTGAAATAAGTTTTCAGTTTCCCTAAGTTGATTAAGTTCTTCAACTGTTGGTTGTTTATAAAGACTGTTTTCAAACTTTTTCTTTTTCTTAGGCACCACTTCAGTTAATTCATCAGTTACTTTTTTTCTCTTTTTTTCTTGATTTTCTACACGAGATTCTATCTCATAATTCTCTAATTCTTCCCCTCTGTCACTTGTGTTTTCTGCATTGTCAGAATCAAGTTCTTCATCCTTGTTTATTGTATCTTCCATCAGATCTGCATTATCAGATTCAGAATTCATTTCTGAATCTTCATTGTCCATTTCAGAATTCATTGTATTTTCATTATCTGAATTCGAATACTCATTTTTTATGCTATAAACAGTACCATATCCATTGCTCTTTGCTTTCTTCAGCTAAAATTATTTAGATTTTATTAAACATTTGATTTCTTTTGTTTCTTTCTGTTATATGTTGAGAGATATAATATTAATATTCATATAAAAAATTATGTATAATAATTATGTATGTTAATATTATTAATAAGATTTAAATTTAAGTAAATAAATAAAGAACTTAAATATTACTACACAAAAGTGTAATAACTTGTATTTTTTGGAATAAGCATCTTCTTTACATTATTAGACATATTTTATTCTTAAAACTTAGTTATTGCAATTATTTTTTATTATATTATTTTACAAGATTCTAGCAATAAATAATACATAATTCATTTTCAAAATTTGAGAAAGGTTATGCAAATGGAAGAATGTAGAAATTCGACTCCACGTCTTGAATGATGAAAATGCAATAATAAATTTTGATATACCTTCGAAAGTCCCTTCATTTTTCCTTTTATTTCTGCGTCTTAACTTTAATATGACGTTTAATTTTTATTCCAAATTTTTTTAATAATTACAAACACGCCGGATATTCAAACGCACCACATGCTCACCATGCTTTCTCATATTTGTGATGAACCACGTGACCAATTTAGTGTAGCGCGCGACATCTATCCTTAATTTTTTTGCTGAAACTTATGTTTCTTCATCGTTCATTGGAATCATAGTTCGGTAAGAAAGTTTTTCAAATTATTCGGAGAAAAAATAATTTTATAAATATTATAAATAAAATACACATATACACATCTTAGAAATTGAAAGAGAAGTGCAGGAAAAACATTTTTAAAAAAGCAAAAATAAAATTAATGCGTTTCGCGTGTCTAGACAAAAACGCATTGTTCCGCGGAACAATCGCGATGCAAATTCTAAAAAAAACGTTCATTATACAGCGTTCATTATCCCGTTTTTCCGGTAAAAGTCATTGCATAACGGCCGAGTGCGTCTAAGCGCGTCCAGCGCGTCGCTCTCACTTATTACTCGGTCATTCCGAGATTTCCACGCATAGAGAGGACAGACAGGGGAGAGAATTTTATTTTCACGAGGCGCGCGTCAACTATTATATCGGCGGATGCCGTGACCGACGCGGCCGTTAAACGACAGTGGTGTCAATGACAGCGGGACGGCTGGGTGCGATGACGGCAGTCAATGGCGTGCGAGTGGACGCACCTGTATCAATGTGTCTGAGCGACATTGCGTCCTGTGCCGCATCACGTTTCGCGTGACGCTGAACAGCACCGAGGTGAAAAAGAAAAGGAAGAAGAGGAGAGTCATCATTGTCTCATTTGCGGGAGTTGCCCGCGTGATCGTCGGCAACGCGCCACTTGGTAGAGGAGTGGTCGTCGCGACTACGAAGGAAGCAACCGTATGTGCCGTTCACGTCACGTTCACGCGGATGTTTACGGCTGGCATGTTAAATGGCAATGAACATGGAGGTGGCGGAGACGTCCGGGGTAGCCAGCTCGTCGGCGGCGAGCCGCGAGGATGCGACGGCTGAGAAGCACGTCGATGCGCGATCGACGATGACAACGAATGACGCGACGACGGTGAGCTGCGAGGAGGCCTCGTCGTCGCAGGCGGACGATGCCAGCGATCGCCGTGTGACTCAGACCCCGTTGGCCTTCACCATCGATTTCGGCAACAACAAGGAGGTGGACACAACAAGATATCAGAACCTGTTTGAGAGGTATAACGCCAGGCACAAGAGGAACCTCTCCACGTCTAAGGTATTGAAGATTCTGTCCTTGTTAACACATTGTTTTCCATAGATTTAGACTTTATGTGCAAGCATTTAATAAACAAAGCATTTGCGGTTTGCCATTAGATTGGTATCGACTAATTAGCATTAAGCTCATATTTCACCGATAGAACCTGCTGAAATAACCTAATAGCAGATTGTCAGAAATCAAGTAGAATTTATCAATTTAATTATTTAAAATGAAGTATATTAGTAAAAATGACAAATTTTGCTTACCTTTTGTTAGCAATTTGTTGTATTCTATTAACAGATTTTGTTGTATTTCTACTAACGAAATATTTAAATGCTTTATAAAATTGTTTTTGATAGAAAAATGAATTTGAACTTTACAAATGACTTTCTCTATAAATAAAATATGATAACAAGTTTTTTATAATTTTTTATCAATGCTAATCATGATATAACATAAAAGTGTGACGTTAAATTCTTTTACTGAAGAATTTTATATAAAATATAAATGGTAATAATATTTTCAGGTAGAAGTAAAATCAAAGAAACCAGGTACTATACTGTCTCCAAACTTGGTACAAAAGCAGAAAGTTCCTAGTACTCATTCTGAGGGGTATTTTAGCAGCGAGGATGATACAAAACGAAAAACTGACCAATTATCAGAAAGACTTAAACAATTAGGTGAATATATTGTACTTCTTCTTTTAAAGAAAAATTCTGTTTTTGATATTACAACTAATATGTTTTAAATTAAAAAAAATCAACAGTTTGTATTACAACTGTTACTTTAAAAAATTATATAAAAAGAAATTTATTTTATATATAGAAGGCTGAACATAAATTAGAAATTTTTAAATATAAATTATTCACATTTCTTTTCTTTTCTAAATATGTTCTAGTTTTTTTATAATGAAATAAATGTTAATACATTTAAATTGATCAAATAAAATATATCAAATAAATAATATAAGTTTTTTGTGAATACAAAAATACAAAACAATATTATTTTTAACAATTAAGTTGTAAGAACTTATATATGATTGCAATTAAATTAGTAAAGAAAACTTAGTGTGAATCCTATATTGAAATTGAATATCTGTAATGTATGAGTCATGGTGAAGTCATGTTCTTCAAACCTCTTAATATTCCTTACAAGTGCCTTCTACCTATTCTGAATGATATAGCTGACATATTAATGACTTTGATGTCATAACTATTCCTATATTAGGAATTATGTGTGATCTTCCTTGAGATATATTACAATATAATATCAATTTTTACTTTTATTCTTGAAATGATATTTATTATTTTTAAATCACATATGGAAATTAAAACTTAAAAAACATATATATATATATATATATATATATATATATTATAATAATTCTCACTTTTATTTTATTTAATATTAATTAAAATTGTATATATTCTTCAGGTGTCAAAAATCCTTCGAAAACAAATTCTAACACAAAGAAGTCTAGGAACGAAAATGTAGATTCCTCTCATCAAAACAAACAATATTTGATGACAAGATCTTGTGACGATGAATTACGCGATAGGAAACTATCATCTCAAGGTCTCTCTCTAGAACTTGAAACCAATGAGAATGTGTATTGGACATCTCAAAGATCCGCGACGATAAATGATCTAAGTCGAATTCAGATGAGCAATTACGATGATGACGAAAATGAGAAACGATACACAAAGAACATTGAATATATCGACATCAATCACGAGTGCAAGGAAATAAATGATTTGGAAGATAATAAAGTGTCTAATATGAATTACATCACTGACAACTTTAAGATAAAAAATACAAATGAAAGAGAGAACAATATATCGAGCGATCAGAGGGAACAGTTTGTCAATTACGCAATGCATCTAAATGCAGACGATCTAGCGGATACTAATCTAGATGTGTTTAACGTTAGTAACATCGACGCCGGTTCTGATGGTGCTGTAAGTGAGGCTGGGACCTACACAATTCATAAAGATTATACTGATGAAGAAAAAGCGAGGATGGACATCGACAAAGTTTTCAGTGTCGGTGTTCTAACGGAAGAAGAAAACAATGAGGCTTACGTTCATAATTTTAAGGTAGATAATATCTATGAGTTGCTTATGTATATACATGCACAAATATTCATGAAACAATCTTATTTTACAGATGAGCATCTCTCGCGATAATAATGCATGGATATCGGAGTGGGCTACTCAAGTAGCGGAACATAATTCTTTACCCCCAATAATTGGCGGCTCGACGGGTCGTACACCGCCTTTGAGTCCGACCAAGATACCATCTCCGATTCATGCTAGATCTCAACGTATATCACATAATCGCTATGTAAGCATTATGCATTTTTGACATCTATAGAATGGCAAATCTTATGTTACATTCTGTAGAGTTGTTTTTTATTAAATTATTAAAATCTGGAAACGTTTTTATCATCTTCATGTTTTTTCAATCTTGTGTGATTTTCTTCTAAGAATTTTATTTTTTTTTTTTTTTTTTGTAGGAACAGTCGTTTGACAGCAATCTAGATACGGACTCGTATGTACGAATAAAAGAAAGACTCGGTTTGGTTTCAAGTCAGCATCAAATTATAGACTCTGGTGGTGAATCTGATGATGATACCAGTAACAGTTATAATACGCCGCCTAACAGCTCACAACGTACACCTGTACATAGTACCGTGATTAGACGCGGCAGCTTGTCTGAATCTTTGTTTCGGCGAGCAAATAACAACGAAAATAGGCGAAGCGTCCGAAAATACTTAAATTCAGCCAAATCGAAGACTGCTGATACTAATGTAGAATTATTGAAGAGCCCGTCCCAAGTCTTATCACCCCTGCACTTTGAAAGAAGAAGTAGCTCTCTAGATAGGTGAATGATTCATTTCACATTGTATTCCGATAGTGATGATTAATTTATAATAATTAATATATTTTCCTACACATTTTTTATAGTTGTTTATAGATGTAATGTTTTTCATAATTCGAGAAATTTTTATTTTTGGTACAGGAAAGAATGTGTTTCTGATACAACGGAATCTAATATGTCCAGAAAAAATAATGCGAAGTATAAGGAAGATTTCAAGCACACAAATAGTCCCGTTTTAAGCCGTCTGAGACCACCAACGCCAAAATTGACCAATAGTCCAATTGTTAGCCGTAAGGCCATCACAACGAAGATTCTTAATTCTCCCATGTTGGAAAGACCTAAACACTTGATAAAATCGTCACAAGCGAAAAATATAGGATATTTTACATGTGTTGAAAATAGGTACATATATTAATTTCAAGACGCTACGTTTCGAAAGTCAAGTTCAAAGTAATTTTTTAATATATTTTATCGTTAATTTTTTAGTCCATACATGTTGAGAAAGTCCAACAGTACTACGAATTATCATGAAGGAACTAGTTATTTTGATAAGGACATGTCTCTTAAAGCGCCTAATATGTTACGAAACAGTCCGGAGCTTCAACGACATCTTAATATACAAAGATCATCAAGTAACGCGAGCATCAGGAACATTAAGTCGCAGAATCTCGTGTCGCGTCGTAGCAGCTTCAATAGTAGCGACGTTGACAGAATATCGAGAGGAAAGTATACCTCTGTTGCCTCTGATAGTAGCAGCGAAACCGGTGAACAACAAAGAAAATCTCCTCTGACGCCGATCTCATCTGGTATCAAGTTAAATAGGGCTTTCAGCATAAGAAGAGCGAGGTATACAGAAATTAAATCAAGTTTCCACGTTATTGGAAAATATAAGAATATCAAAAACCTTCCGTTTCCAATTTGTACAGAAAGTTAAATATATTGTGTTTATAGATTAAATTGTGAATCCGACACAACACCGAATACAACCCCCGAAGAAAGACGTAGAAGATCGCAGTCCGAGATAAAGACTGTAGCCCCTGTGACTAAGCAGCAAAGTTATCATCGTATTCGCACAAATAGTGTTGGCGCGCACAATAAGGAATCAGCAAAGAAACCAGAAACGTCGAAATTCAGAACACCGTCTATATCTAGAACCGATACCGGGAGATTTAGTATGAGAGCCCCAAAACCGACTCATGTAAGTCTCTCATCTATGCGCAAGCATTACACTGTCTATAGGATATTTTAAATACAAATTCTTTTTTTTCTTAAGCATCCTCCCAATAGCCAGAAAACGAATCAGAAGCCAAATAAAGATCACAAAAAATCTGGCAGAAGTAATTCCACTCTTACGTCCAAAGAAGTAGAGTTTCAAAATTGGAAGAGGCGGAAAAGTTACGACCCGATGAAAGCAGCGGCTGAAGGAAGGAAGAAATTGATAGACAGTACGAAGAAACATCACAGTACTGAGGATGGTTCTGGCAAGTGAGTACACAGAATTATATAGTATATTTTCGTGGATTTGAGCGTGGTTTCCTGAAAGTGCAATTTATATTCCAGCCATGACAATTCCGTGCTGAGATCTGCAAGTTTTCACGGAACAGGGGGTGCTCTCTCGTTAGCCAACGATTGGTCGGATAATGAATTAAATTATTCCTATGAGGATAACCAAATACCACCGCCTAGCAGTCCGCAGCTGGTACATTTTAAGATATAATATGCATTTAGATTTTAATTTATCTATTAAAATTGAAACTTTAACTTATTTAAATAAATTGTAACAAACTCTATAACTATAAATGTCAAATATAAGATTTATAATTGATTAGGAGAGCGATAGTGATTTAGAAACTTCATCATATCTGCAAACGACTCAGAATGTCGTATCCGCAATGTCCGCTCGCATGACGGGATATCGTCCTCCGCTTGTTTCCGATAATGAAAGCGACGAAGATACAAGTCACAGTCTGCATCAGAATATATCGAAAGGATTACGCCATCCGAGCGATACAGAGAGCAGCGATGAACAACATCCTTTGGCGCAATCTCCAATCTCTAATACTAAATATAACAAAGAATTTAGGTACGTGCGTATGATTACTTTCTTGCATTTTGATAATATTTGCCGATGTATCTAATCGTTTTTCTGTTTTCTCTTAGCTTGCGTAAAGCAAAATTGGACCTGCAACGAACAAAACCTGTGTCTTCCAATGTCAACAAGGCTAAAACTTTATCGCACGATGCACATAGCAAGTCTGAGTCACTTTCCAATGTCAATAGAACAGACTCTGGACGATCTAGCGCGCGAATTAATAGAGGCTTGAGCATGGTAGGTAATATCTTTCTATTTTTAATATCGTATAATTTAGTATTTAATATATGGATTTATGTAGGGATCTAAAAGTAATAAACCAAAGGAACCAAAAAAATCCTCAGCATCAAATATACGGGAAGTCGAAATGCAGAATTGGAAACGTCGCAAAAGCTACGATCCTATGAAAGCTGCTATGGAAGGACGGAGAAAAGCCGGTTTGGTGAAGAAAAATATCAATGCAACTCTATCACCGAGGTAAGTAATCGATTTAATTTTTCAATGAAGAAAACGACATGAGGAATTTTTCTAGACTATGTGAAAGTCCAGAAGACATTGCGAAGATGTTTCTTGGTCTTTTACGTTACTTGAATTATATGTATATTATCATTCAGCTAACTAAAAAGATAATTATTTTATTCTTTTGTTATATTTTGTTGTTAGGACTGATAGCGATCGATAATCTAAAAATAATGTGGCAAACAAGTAAATGGTATGGTACAAATTCGTTTGAACGTTTTATATATAGATTCTCTCAAGAGGTACATTTAATAGATGTTTTTCACTTTTTAAGGATATGAAACACTTTCACTGACACGAATGCTTGTGTTTTGTATTGCACTACTTTAAAGTTTCTACTAGATTAAAATTTTCAGATAGAAAAGATACTACGCTTATATTTTGTGTTAGTTCACTTATTTTAGCGGTGTGTTACGCTTCCTTTTGTCTATTACTCATCTTTTATCATTTATAGACAATCAGAGAAACCATATTTATTTTTATGGAAAAATACAATACTATAATTAATTTTAACTATAGAAACTTAATCCTTTTATTTGTCTAATATTGAGGTTGCGATTTAATCAGATAGCTTTAGCGATAATGTGCGATGTAAATATGCATCAGCAAAGCTTCCTTCTGATAAAGAGGTGCTTAAA